AGATGTTAAGTTAACGTTTTGCTCGCGCGTCTCTCACTTGCGATGACCACCTACCTACTGTACGAGTGTGCTGTTCAGTAGCAGGTTCGTACGTCAAGTTTTCACTGTGAGCTCCACCGATTAACTTGTATTCTTTTCTCATGACACAAGCTGTTTTATGGACCAAACACACTCAAATCTAATTACTATAAGCAGCGCTTCACGTGTAGACACCCTACCAACGGCTCACTTAAATTGCACACAAAGCATAAATTGCTTCGGAGAAGAAGTTCTCCTTAGCAATCGAAGCTTTTCCGAGTTGGATATTCAACGCGTGTCCTCAATGATGTACTTAGACGGATCTACAACCAAAAATCGAACGTCCGCCGGTACGTAGTTTTTTGTGTTGCATGCGTATCTCTGTGCTGGAAGCACTTCAACATGAAGCGTCGGTATCCAAACGCTTCACTACGCTGCGTAGCGTAGTACGCAGGCGATCACCAATTGTCTTCGGTGGTTGGTATTCTGAGTGCTTCCACTTTAGCTCGAAGCACCTGCTTGGGCACAGCGATGCGTATCTGAATGCACGAAATCAGAGACATCCACGCACGCAAAACAAGTTGATGCCAGCAACTCAATGGAAAACTTCGTGACCACCAACAACCGAAGTTCGCTCTCAGAGCGATGTCCATTAAAAAAACTATCTTGCAGTCCAAGCTCATTCCTCAACTAACTCAATCAAGAGCAAGCATACAAGCAAGCAAGCAACCCCAACAGAAACATCCGAAAGCATGAGTCAAGTGCTGCAGCACTCGAGCGTCTTCACATTTGTGAAGGGCGAAAGCAAGGGCGATGGCAGCATGAAGTCGCTGCTGGGTGGCAAGGGTGCCAACCTGTGCCAGATGGCGCGCAACGGCGTGAACGTGCCGCCCGGACTGACCATCACGACGGAGGTGTGCCAAGAATTCTACGCAGTGGGCGGACGCCTGCCAAACGGCCTGATGAACGAGGTGCACAATGGCGTGCGTCTGATGGAGAAGGCGCTGGGTGTGACGTTCGCTGACGTGACG